AAGAGGACGAAAGACTATGAAGACAAGTACATCTTCAAGGATTGCTGGCAGCTACTAGAAGCTAAACTAGACAAAGATCTCTCCCTAGAGTCATGCCCTAAATTCAGAATTCCAGTCTCCTGAACTGTGAAAAAATAAATTTTTGTTCTTTAAAGTCACTCATTTGTGATATTTGTGTTATGACAGCACTAAGAAACTAAGACAATCCCACATAAAATAAAGTGGAGGTGGCAAAACTTTCTTGATATCATATCAAGATAAAGAAAGAGTCAGAAGGCTCAAGGAGGTGGGGATATTAGAATGGATTTATGATGTATGTCCTAAGTATCCAGCACCTGGCTATATTCCCTGGCATGACCTAGAGGATATTCCCTTTACTGAGGATATAAGAAACGCACTGATGAGGGGAACCCCAGCATTTTTGGAGCAGAGTTGATAGTGGGAGATCACTCCAAGAAATTGAGCTCTATAATATCAGTGGGGATAATGAGATTCCAGAATAGCAGAGGTCAGATGGTAGCACTTAATAAAGGCTGGCTGATGTAATTACCATAATGGACAGCCAAGCAAGAATGGCAACCAAGTTGCCCTTACCTGTAGATCTCTCTGGTGTTGGCTAATGGCTCACGGAGTTATTAGAGGCAAAGTGGATGGACAGTCAACTCAGATGTTTGGATAAGCAGAAACCCCAAGGATGGGTCAGCAAAAGCCTGTCATCAGCTGCTGCAATGGAAAATTATGGTCCCTTACCTAGTTTCTGGATCTCAGTCAGGTCACAGACCCACATCCTTTGATTGAAGGAGGGACCAATATTTAGCACAGTCCTTACATGGCTTCTAGTCCTAGTCTGTGGCATCAGAACTATTAGGAATGGGAGGGCCAAAAGGAAGTATCTGAAATTGCACACCTCAAAAATAATAAATTAGAAGCCATACTGCATTCCAGAAAGAATCATAGATATTAGTGCCACTATCAAAGACTTGAAAGATGCAGGGACATTACCATCCACAACTGTTGTACCACTTAGGTTTTGGAAGCTCACAGACAGACTACCTGTACTGGATAATGTTGCTTATTTCTTTGTTGTGATACTGACTACACTCATTTCCATTGGTATCTTGTAGATATGTAAACCTGTTTAATCTGCTCAAGTAGTGTCTTTACCTGGTCTTTCCATAAATATGAGCCCACTATTGACATTTGTCAATATAGAATTCATATAATAGATTGTTGTTATGTGCCGTCGAGTCGGCCCTGACTCATAGTGACGCCTCCTTGGGTTTCTGAGGCAGTGTAATTATGGAAGTAGATTGCCCCATCTTCCTTCCAAGGAGTGGCTGGCGGGTTTGAACCGCCAGCCTTCTGGTTAGCAGTCAAGTGTCTTAGGCACTATGCCACCAGAGCTCCTTACAATAGATTATACACTGCAAATATCATTCCTGAGTGTGTTCCAGTCACTAGGCTTGGGTGCTAGGCGACTACAATAAATAGACAAATCCCTGATTCAGAAGTCTGTCTGTTAATGAAGGGATGATTATAATCCAGTAGTACTTACTCTTCTCCTCTGCAGAATTCTCTGGTCTCTCTCCAGTCCCAGACTTCTTCTTGGAACTTCTAGGATGTTTTTAAACCTTTATCACAGCATGTTTCACAGCATGCCTTCTATCATGGTTGTTGTTGTTATGTGC